AATTAATGACATAATTTTCATTTTTGGGTGAACTAACCCTTCAAGGCTGGAATACACTACATCACTATTAAAATCTGAACAGATTTAAAAACACTAGGCATCATTCACTTGCCAATTTTGTTAAAGGTCACAGAGGAAAAACTGGACATCACACACTGAACGACTGACGATCACACATTACTAGACTTTGATGATCACAGATTGCCAAACACCACAAACTCACACAGAAACAAGCGCTTTGTTGATGCATATCAAAAGAAAGCATTACGTGTTCTACAACCGGCTCAAAATATCAAGCATGTTTAATATCCTCCAATCATATTCTGAAGTGAAGCGAAAAATAAATCGGGGCAAAAGTCATGTAGTGTATTCCAGTTTTTAGGTAAACATATTTGATTTTTTTTTTTTTTTTTACAAAGTGGGCATTTGCTCCAACCTAGTAGCATGCAAATAAGAATGTTAAAGGTTGCATAAACAAATGTGCAGACCAGAGTTATTAGTACTAACTAAAACTATAAAAACTAAAACTGAACCTGAAATAAAATATAAATAATAAACATAAATAGTAATATAAAAAACAAGACAAAAACCTAATAAAACACCAAAAGCACAGAACAAAATTACAAAAAAAATTTAACTAAAAAAACTAATTGAAAATTAATAAAAACTATAAAATAGTATATAAATAATACTAAAATAACACTTGCACAGAATGAAATCTCAAAATCTGAATATCCAAGATTAATAACTAAACCAGGGTGATGTATGAAAAAATTGTCTAGCGATTAGCATTTCCTCTCCGGTCCTGCGGGGACAGTATTGTGTCTCACCTGTAACTGGTCCAGTAGGGTTCCTCCTCGCACTGGTTTGCCCTCTGGGACAGTTGGAGGTACGTTACCTACATTCCTCCTCCTCAGATCCTCCAGTGTGGCCTCATGGGCCGCGATCTCGGCCTGAATGGCCTGCATTCAGAGCATTTTGAAAGTTAAAGGCCAAAGAGTAAAAGAATAAGCTCGAAGAAGTTTAAAAACAAAGAAGCATTACGATATATCTGTCACTGGTTATTGAAAATCTTGAGCATCTATGAATATCTACACCAGTGGTGTAGTGCAGTGCACTTCTTTATCAGTCGTATACCCACTAATAAATCCCCTCTGATGCACTTTATTCAGTCCTGCTTTAGCCAAAATCATGACGGTCCAGCACACGAGTAGCTAATCCAATCGCATGTGAATAAATGCAAATATTCCCTAAAAAAACACCCAGCAAAAACAGTGTGATGCGGTCAGGACCGAGGCGCCGGCTTCCCTTGAAATATGATTGTCACAGTCAGAGAAGATGCTGACAGTGACAGAAATGCTGCTTCCCTTTCATGGGAACTTCGAACTGTGTCCTCTAGGGGTCGCTGGTAACTGCTGTGAATGAGGAGTTTGTGTGTTTATACCTGAGCTTCCTGAGGCAGCTGGAAGGCGTCGATGCGGTCGGTGAGGTACGAGGTGAGCATCTGGTCCAGCTGCGTGAGGGACGTCTGTAGTGTGTGTAACGCCGTCTCGTTCTCTCTCAGAGTCCCCAACTTCTGCTCCAGAGACATCTGACGTGCAGCAGCCTACAACATGAATGCAATACTGTACATATGATGTGAATCTGAATCAGTTCTGGGGAATCATTCAATCTGTTCAAAACGAACACACCAGCTGAGTCAGTTCTTCATAGCGCGAGTTGAAGCTCTCCAGTTTCTCGCTGATGAGTTCATCCAGAATGCCTCCATCTATGAGAGTCTGGGCCAGCTCTCGGATCTGAGTCCTGTTATCACCCGGATGACGCACAACTGACTCCAGAGACTGAAAGAGACACACAAATCCTGTTTACACCATGAGTATTAACAACAACTCGGGATCCAAAACGTGATCCGATTACTCACACCACAAACAGACGTAAACAAAAAATTTATGTGGTCACATCATATTTGTAACGCTTAAGGTGCGGTCACATTAGCAATATTTTATGGGCAAAAAAGACCCATTGTCAATAGTGTAGCAATGTATGAATCACTTTCAAACCAAGCAGCTTTCTGTTGGTCAATTTATCTGAGCAACTTGAACTCGTGAAATCTGCATGGGGAAATCTTTCACCCTCACTTGAAATTCCCAAGGATGTGAATATATATTGAAATTACTGGATTTTGGCTGCGAAATTTGACTGAACAAGATAAGCCACGCTTTTGGCATGAAAGCCGTTACCTCCAGAGCCTCGCTGATAGACTCTGTGTTTTCTGGGACGTTCTCAGTGGCTTGAACGTTCTCCTCCAGTGTCTTCAACCAGCCAAACTCCACGTCCAAATACTGCAACAGCTCGATCCAGCAGGACCACACCTCCTGAACATCAGTACAAACACATCAGACCTCAGCTAAACATCTAAACAGGAACCAATCAAACCACATCTGGAGCAGGGCTGTCCTGTGTGTGTGTGTGTGTGTGTGTGTGTGTGTGTGTGTG